AACTTTTCGAAAAGCAATATGTTCATGATTGAATCTGTAGTTTTAAATAAGCGCTATATGATCGGCCTGAGACCCATTAGTATTCAGAACTGTTGTTTAATGGGCAATAATTACATGAAACCACTAACTATATCCTGAAACTGTATCCCTTTTACCTCATAGGTTGGACGGCATAAATTTTCGACCCTAACAGCCTCAACCTGAAGCTCACCAGAACAAAATTTTTAAAAAAATTCTCGTAGAAACAATTGTGATCAGATCGTGAGTTATTAAATGCTGAAGGCATTTTTAATTTGTAATTCGTTTCCTGATATAGAAAACTACGTGATCTGCACAGATATTTGAACAAAAGGAACGTGAATCCGAGAGCAAACATCAGCGAATCTGGCGAGGAAGGAAATGTCAAATTTTCAGTCGTGGAAATGGTTACACTAAATTAGTAAAGACGTCAAGATTTCTAGTTGGCTTGATTCAATAGCAAACAAAACAATAGTAAAATAGTAAACGTATTTAAGGTAAAACCCACAAAAGAAGGGCAAGTGTCGAAAATATAGACATGCGAAATGGAGAGAAGAAAAGAGAAAATATCCATATAAGCAGGTGATTTGCATTCTTTTGTGTCGAGTAAGTCACGTCATGAGTTTATWAAGAAATCATCGTTGTCATGGCAACGTCGTTATGTAGTTTTTAATAAACGAGAAGAAGTGTTTTATCAGGATTTAAAAACRCGAGGCGTAGCCGAGGAAAATCCAAGTTAAAGTTTATGCARATGAAGACGAATCTGTATCAGATATAAAACCTCCTTCGTGGTCATGATTTTTATTGTGTTTCCTYCATRAATTATTGATGAGTTTTCTAAGCSCAGATAAATATTGATTCATTGATGTATTTGCAGTTTTAATTGAAGAGAATCAGCTGGAATCTTTTAATTTCCCTTGTCTCATCTTTCTCTGACGTCTAATATATCACGCCCTGGCTCTCTCCGTTATGCAAGCTACTGATGAAGTGAAACTGTCGTTAATACCCACCCCACGCTTCCCCAGTAGTTAATCCACTAGTTTTGTGAGTGTKATGCTTTTAAGAAAAATACTCAGGCCAGCTGGAGGCAGTATATATATATATATGTCTACTTTAGAAGGAAAAGCTATAGTAGGCCGCTGTTACGAAATATCGTCATTTAGTTGTCTGTGTTACAAACCATTATGACGTGAATGTCGGAGTTGTTTATATGCGCTCTCCTGTGCTTTCCTAAGGGTTTTTTATTATTTTTTTTTTCTCTCTACACCTGACACACAAAAAAAACTTTTACAAAAATATAACACTTTATACAACTGTCATGTTTGTTTAATGCGACCGCCATATTTATTTTAAAAATGAAATGACATTAAGATCAAGATTTCAACGAGTTTGATTCATGACTTCAGTCAAAAAAATTGCAAAAATGGCGATGAGTGCGGCATGGTCAGGAACTCATTTCCCAGTCACTCGGAAACATGATAACACGACTGCAGATTGCTCAAGCTTATCGGTCACGAAGACTTAAAGATAATGAAATTGAAAACAAATTGTTAGTAGAGTAATGCATAATGAAAGTATACATTCGTGAATTCTTATGTCACAATATCGTAATTGATTCGATCAAAACAATATAAGAAAAGGATCCACCAAAAACGAAGGGGAAAGAAAGAATGAAAATGACGACAAMGAGTTAAGGAAGAACGAAAAGAAAAATAGAGAGCGCATGAAATAAAACAAGAATAATAGAATAAACAGAAGAAAAAAAAACAAAAGAAAAGAACTAAGAATGGAGAATTAGTTYACATCAAAGCAGGGTGCCGTCTTTTCTTTTCATTTTAACGTTGGTCTTTCAGAARTTTCTCAGTCACATCTTTTGATTCAAAACTGGGAATTTTTGTGAATGCCGCAAAGAATAAGAACAAACCTCCCGGGGGCTGAAAAGCGTTATTACAAAGGACTTTAGATTGGCTTTCGTTGAGTATTGAATCTTTAATCCCCTTCTTCCACTTATTTTAAGTCTGTTCGCTAAGTAATACGATCAGTAACAGAGATAACAGTCAGGCTCTGTACTACTATCATATCTACTTGGCTGGTGCATTCTGGATCGGAGGAAGATTTTCGATACGTGAATGATGATAGCGATTCTATTGGATCGAATGATAACTTACACTAAGGTTTCAGCTCAAATYAACCTCGACGACTTTGTAATAAATCAGAAACTAGTCTTCCCGTGTATGACATAGATGATTGTAAAAACAGCTTTGCCGGAAAACCCCAGAACGAGCGAGCTGAACGCTTATGGCTGTAAAGATAAAAATATATATCTTTATTTACGTCGTTCCGGCGCTTTCTCATTAATTGAAGGCACTTTTCACTCACACACACTACCACTACATTCAATGTTCTATGCACACAACGCCCAACTCACATGTTGATTTTAACGAAGGGAGAAAACCGAAGAACCCGAGAGAGCAACACATCAAACAAATTCAATTCACATATCGTGTCCGCAGGGCTCGAGCCAGTGCACCGGCCACATGGATTGGCTGTAAAAATATCAAAAATTAGTATTGCTTTAGGCGTACCCAAAGAATCCTTCTTAAGATCAAAGACTTGACTTGTGTACCTCCTGGTTTTCAAGCTAAGTGTTTGATGCTATCGATATGCAATCAACCCTCAAACCAAGATATAACCACGCGTCTTGTCCGCAAAACAAATGGTTCCTAGTTGCCATTTTGATCGACACATGTATACATACATCAGAGCCGATAATACTCAGCTAGCTTTGCTTATGAGAATACAGTACAGTATTTAATGGATATCAGTGTGGTTGATATATCGACTACTCCAAATACTGAAAACATGCTCCAGGCGTTTTCATTCATGTACTCAAGTCTCTCAATTTCCATTTCCTTCTCGTAGGTTTTAACACATATTTTCCTTTTCTGTACTCGGAAAAGAAGATAATAAGTGCATTTCAAGCAAGTTTGCTTAGGGCCCTTTTTAGGCTTTGTCCTGTCGTTTTCCAACTTTTGTGATATTCTTTCTCTTTTCTTGAACAAAAAGCAAATATTTTTCTTTTACAGTGTGTACCCAGGCTAAATCAAACGTTTGCTAAGATAGTTGAAACGGAAAAAAAGTGTCCACGTGAAAGACTTGTTGTTAATGAAGTTAACTAATGATGGCAGTGTTACAATACAGTGACTTCTTTTTCGTTCGCGCCTACCYGCGGCGTTTCAAAAATGTGAGCAGTTTGAAGCTCTAGCGACGTTCCTCGAGAAACAGCCCGTATTCTCCTGCTAGAAACCTTTACAGCTCTACAACGGCAAGTTAGTACATCTCTGCAAGCCTTGCGGAATTGTCTGCTGAAAAAACAATATATAAACGGGTTTACACAAGACTGTGTGAAGACTAGCAGCTGGGAAACCCTCCAAGAGGTTTTCCAGATTAATGTATTTTCTTCAAGTCCAAAGTTTGCCATCAGAAAMAGAGTCATAAAAGGAATATAAGACACACAAAAAACTATTACGACGACTACCAACATCTTGGACAGTTTTTCTTCACTACGAAAAATCGAAGATGTGCCTGAGGAACTTAGTCTAAATACACTATGCTTTGCTAATGTCTTAAAAATTCTTATRTGTGCCCAGACCATGAAGACGAGAGATACAAAGAAAAGAGTGAATGTTTGAAAGGCGTAAAAGACCTGACGAGCAATACTTCCAAGCTGTTTGTTGGTGCAATAACCTGGAGTTTGACTATAGATAAATAACAAAGGACTGCAAATGAATAGCGAGATCAACCAGACGAGTAATGGGAGCCATCTTCGGAACTTGAAGCGTCTTGTTCGTGCCAAAATTGGAGTCGCTACAACCGTCATTCTTTCATAGCTGATAGCATTCAGGATCAATATTGTCGAAGTATAGCACGTCTCTGTTAAAAAGCCTTCCAGCTTGCATGCCAGCTCTCCTGATAATGAAAAATGAACACTCGCATTAAAGGAAGCCAAGAGTCCAAACAACAGATCTGCAACACTAAGACTGGCAAGATAGCCTAGCATTACAGATGGGTTACGGCAGTACGACTGAAGGCATGCTACTAAAGCAAGAAGGTTTGAAGCCACAGAGACGATGAGAATAACCATGGCGTAGTAATAGAATAGTTGAGACACGAAAGGCGGTAATGCGGTTGAGAGGGAGTCCATAGATCCATTGCCAGTTCTATGTAGCTTTAAGACACCGCTCATATTGAAAGTGCTTATATTCTGATGAAGAGAAGTCCCAAATTGCATTTTCAAGGAGCGAGCAGGTTTACTTCTCGCCGTCCACTATGGAACTCGATCGTCAAGTGGGAATTCAGAAAGCGATCTTCATATATCATTTCACCTGTCATCGCAGGAATGACGTCAGTAGACGTTCTACCCAATCGCCTTCCTACATGAAGGGAACATTTGATTCCATAGCAGGAAAGTAGAAACTAAAGATCATTAAATAATCTTCATTTGCTGTTCACTGGCGATTGTGGTTGCACTGGTAAGTTCAAAATAACCGTAGCTTATGATTCATAAGTGATAAGAAGCTCAAATCCTAAATCGATCAAGAGTTTTTTTTTACCGTAAAAAATGGTCACGTACTGTCGTACGTTTTTCTTATGACTTTATTTCTTCAATCGAGAAATACAGTTGAAGAAGGCCTAGGGCTACCTGATCTTTACATATGAAAGCAGTAGTATTCATGCTAGTTAAATCAGCTTTTCATCAATTCAGGCATTTTCGACAATACTGATCCTACGTCACGTGATTTCGTCGTTTCATTTTGCTCTTTTCAAACGAGAAACTTTTTTTTTGTAGGATACGTCCGTCAGGTAGCATACATAAACAGCCAAACTAAGCAAATTTAAGCTTTGTTTATAACCATGGTTGTTAAATAACCTTTTGAAGATCATTCCCGGCGACAAATCCAACCAAATTAGACACATTTACAATAATGCAACAGTCGGTTCCTTTGGGCTAAAAGCATTAAACTATTCGCTGTTTTTAAACTGGCAGCAGTCTAAATATTACCTATGGATATTTTTAATCTGTTTATTTTAGTACGCMAACGGCAGCTGAGTGAGAAGTTAACTTCCTGGATAAATTATCCGGGATTATCTTCGAGGTCCTTATTCTGGATGCGATGGACGACATTGAAGTTGGAGAAAATGAGTGTTTATTATGAAAAATGAACTAGAGTTTTCTCTTGATGAATGAAATACAAATCATCATCATCATTATCATACATATCACATTACCGGGCAGAAAAACAACGCATTCAACTTCAATCCAGTGGGCTTCCCATAAAGATAACTTCCGCAAGTTTTTTTATTATCATTATTTTAARAGTATATACGGTTTTATGTCTGAGGTATCTCATCTTGATCATAGACAAGATTTTTTAGTAAAAAAGAAAACTAATCGTGATAAGGAAGTCTAGGAAAAAGCCGGAATCACAGCCTAAGGGTTTGTCAAAGAGAACGTACAATGTCTCCAAGAAAATCAATGCTAAGACAATTACTACTACTTTTATGGAAGTTAAGTTATCGGAGCAGATGACAGCCCATTTCAATATTCAATATCGGTCTGACATTTGCTTTGATAACTTCAGCGAGTGAATGGTTTGTATACAATACCTTCCAAGAGAATAAATAAGAAAAGAAAAGGCCGAGACAGTTATGTTGGTAATTGATAYGAGAAGCGATGAATCAACTGAAAGGAATAGTTAGCTTGAAAAAATATATAAATTACGTCTTCGATAATTTACCAAAAAGTACCGAAAAACACCCAATACTTACATGCATCTCAGTTGTTGAATAAACATTTTGTCACAATCAATTTTCACTTAGATTATCCTACAGCATAAATCCTAGAGACCGCTCGCTAATCATKGCACGAGTTGCAGTATCTCTGTGGTTAGAGCATGGACGATAAATCATATCATATWATGCCATACCTCGTACGTCTGCAGTACTCTTACCCATTCTCCAAGTTTGGGTGTGGTCCACACCCCCACCAATGCGCGATCCTCGTCCTCATGATCGCATTCCAACGCCATTTTTTTCCTCCGTGCAAGTACAACACAACATAATCACCAACTTGCTCTCCGAATGGACAGGAAGAATAGGGAATTACAAGTCGTGTAGTGGAAGCACCTTGAACTTATGCAGACCGTATTACGATAGAGTAGGTCCGAAATCTTCGGTGACATTTGAGGGTGTCCTAACGGGAACGCTTAGCCATTCGGTTGCACTGAAGGCTATACGGACGTAAAATCCACGTATTGAATCTGGAGAGCAGAAGTAGTGCAAGACTGAAGCATTGCATCTACCTCCCTTCATTGTTCCCGCGGGTCCAAGGGRTCTCGATGTTTCAAAACATATTCCCATTCGGGGTGGTCTTGGATCAAACCATCCCATTCATGCTCCCACATCTTCTCTACCCTATACCCTGCGTTCCGCAATTGTTGAGTTTGACATCGTGTCGTTTCTATCAAGTCCCCCATACGCTGTCGTTTTCGACTATGATAGTCCTCTTCCCGCGGGTAGCAGATGGAACATCCATGCCAATAACACCCGTGAAATTGGTACACTGTGCGTGCAGCTTCATCGTATCCATCTACCTTGCTCCCCAACAAAGTGACTTCTCCATCCGGCAATAGCGCGGTACGCAACCTCACCCCTTGCATTTCTTGCACCTGSTAAAGCCACCACAATGCCTTGAACGTCTCGACTGCGGATTAGGCAGAACTACACTCCGCTTTGTTCTTTTAGCTTTCGTCTTGGGTCGACATAAGTCCATATTTTGTTCTAATAACAATAATCGAGCTGTAGAAGGGAAATTGATGAAAAGGGCTCTAGCTCCATGTATGGTGGTAGTCTTTCTCCAGTCCAACTTCTAGTTATTTCTACTGATAAATATCGACGTCTGGACCCAACTTATTATAGATTTGTATATTCAATTGTCGCCATTCAGCGTTGTTTTTGAAGTCGAAGATCATGAAACGGCGATTAGTGAGTAAATGTAATCTTTGCGGAAGTGTTGACCGTCCATTCAGTTGGAGAATATGACAACTCGGAAATAAAGCAATCACACTGAAAAGACCAAAAGTAAAACACTAATCAGTGGAATTATTAATTTAGATGCAAAATAATGCTATTTGTTATTGCTGCGGTTAAACATTTTTAGAACTTTTCGGTTGGAAAGCCCGGGTAGTTCGTATACAGTTATTCCAAAAAAAGGTTGGGGAGGGTTTTGTAATATGGGCGATCATGTGAAACAATCTACATTTTTCCTGTTATATTTATTATTTATTTACATATGAATATAATACATTTCAAGCAAATCCCCTCCCCCCTCCCCCAACAAAACAGCGTCTTTTTGGAATGTATAGGCTTATTTTCAATTTTTAAAGATTTATTCTGTAATATGAAATATAACAAGTAATGCTTTTTAAGGGGGGGGGAGTTTCGGCGGTTGTTCAAATTTGCCCCCCCCCCCCCGGGAAAATCCTGGCTACGCCCCTGTACAATACCATGAACATTTTTCTGCATGTCATTTTTTATGTYGTTGTATGAGTGGGCCGGTTTTATCAACATAATGGCTGGAGATCGTGTGTATCCTGTTYTTATCGGTTTTCTAATTTCAATGCACTGCGGTATACATGAGAGTAAATTAAAAAATAGTCATGTCGTCAAGTTAAATAGAATTCTCCGATATGAGATTTGATTAGAATATCAAAATTACAAAGGGTTTGTCATTGGATATCAGTCATTTTGTTGTTATGAAATAGTAGTGTTTCTACAATAAACCATCGATTAACAACAAGCTATACCGCCATGCAGAAAGACTCTAGCAGACTATTTGGCGCACACTCACTGTAATATCATCAACAAATGGAATTTTGTAGAACTTTTKGCTGATAGCTACTGGGTCTTATGAATATATTAGCTCATAARGAGWCTTTGAGCCGGTCCATGATGATGATGATGATGATATGCTAGATACTATGAATAAATATAGTTATATGTGTCAAGTYTCAAAGACTGTGTTGATGGTGCATTTCGCACACTGAGAGGTAAATCGTTTCAAAGTAAAGGAGCAATGCTAGATCACGTCCAGAATAGCGGATTCAGGAATTTTAGAAGGGGTGTGACTATTACAAAGGTTTAACCAGGAATTCGAGGGAGAGTGGGTGACTGTTATGAACGATATACTAAGGTAATTTGAGCAAGAGGGGGAGGGGTGGGGGATGACTAGACACCCCTTTTACCATCCCTGGATCCGTCAGTTAGAAGGCTATTTGGTTTATGAACTATAAGGATGTATGTTAAATATTGAGATGCTAGATCATTTAGTATTTTGTAAATAATCAGTAAATAGAATCTTGAAAATGACAAGCTTGTGGACAAGAAGCCATTGAAGTCAGTGAAGAGAAGTGATACATGATTAGATGTTCTAGTTTAATTTTAGTGACAAGCGAAGCAGAAACAAATTACATGAGAAATGTGTTTATACTCCAGTTTCGAGTTGTCTGTTGCTCACGGTTGGCCTCCATTTCTTGTAGTATATTATGTGTTCTAGTGAAGGTATGTGGAGTGTCAAAGTGTTTGTATCGTAGAAGTTGTGCAGTCTTTACCTTACCGTTTGTATTTGCAAATATTTAAACACTGATACGAGGCTAACCCTGTGTAAATGCATRAATTTGTAATCAAGGAACACAGCGGTTATATGGAACTCGAAAGCACTCGGAACTCGCAGCCCCAGAAAGGAGATAAAATCAAGAATAGTAAGATAAAGCCTTATGTAAAAGTAACCCAAGAGAAACAGTTGGAATACGTAGTTCGTAAGGAACGATGGTAAGGGAAATTGATTTCGCATGGCTTAAAGATTAAAACATTCCTATTTCACGAGGGTAGCACTTAATAGCCAGTGGCTAACAAACCTGTGGCCCTCATTCCGTGATCGAATTGGAATTTAGGAGTTGATTTTTGCGGAGGGAGGAAAACCGGAGAACCCGGAAAACCCTTGAAGCACAGGAGAGAACCAACAAACAACTCCACTCATATATATGCAACACTGAACCCGGCAGGACTCGAACTCGGGTCGCATTGATGAGAGGCGAGCGCTCACGCTGCTACGCCACCCGTGCTTCCCAGAATGGATGTCCTGACTCTCTAGCTTACACYGGCTGTTGCTCAATGAAATGTTAGAACTCTAACTCGGAACAGTTCTCACCAACAAGGCTGTATGACTGTGCAATACGGAGCCCGATTAGTGCTATGCAAATTTTGAGATTGATT